GGTGCATTTCACAACGACCGCTTGCAAGAATTTGTCTGTTAGGGGAGGGGGAGGGGAGGGTACATCTTCACAACTTGTGTGTGTTGGGGGGAGGGGGGGAGGTCCAACCTGCGCAATGCATAATCTGTTTTGAATTCCGAGTCCGGAGCTATTTTCTGACTTGGCCGCTCAGTCAAAAAAGAGCTCTGGACTCAGAATTCAAAAGGAATTACACAATGCACAGCCCTGAGGGAACATTTCCAGACGACCGCCCTTCTCTTCCAATAAATGTTTGCATATCGCAAGTTTGTAAGTTTGATTTTAGTTCAATTTTTCAATTCAAGACTATACCTTTTTCGGATAAATATTTTTTTTCTTTTTTGGTACCTTTTGCGCTTGCTTAAGACATATACAAAACCTTTCCCGTCTGCTTACAAAACGTAGACGATAAGGAACCAGCTACGGAACTTTATTTTGGGTTTAATTAATAAAGCTGCGCGCAATTACTATATGACGTTATAAAGTACATTACATGCACTAACTATTTGTTATTATATAATACTTCAGACGCCCGTCGGCTCGGAGACAAACCGGCTAAAAAAATGTTGGTCTACAAATTTAATAGAATAGATAAGCAATACCGCACACATTGGTATAGATCGTCACTTAGGGCAATTACTTTTATGAGGAGTCATCTGACAATTTTAGGAAAATTAATGTTTGACTAATCTATAGAAATGTTCTCTCTATCTGATATAGTTTTCAGGATAATAAGAAAACATCTTGAAAGATTGATAAAGATATATAACAGATAGACCTCAACATTTTAAACATTTAAGTTCCATTCAACTATTCTCTATCTATAATGGTTTTCATGATAAAAGATAAAACTTTCAGTTTACCTCGTATGTTTTATTTTTTATCCGTGTTGATTGGAAGGCGGGATCATCGGACACATATTTAAACTAGATACCCCCATGATGATTGTGGCCAATTTTCAGAAGAATAGTTTTCTATTAAGTTAACGAACGACGATGGACGACGGACGCCAAGTGATAGGAATAGCTCACTTAACCCTTTGTGCTTTTTTTTTATGCTTCATTTTTTTATAGAGGGTGTTGAAATGTGCTGAAATGACACCAGGCAGACAAAATATCTATATTTTTTTATTCTAAATGTCTATTAAAAGCACATGTTTCAGGAGGAAAGTAAAATAGATAGTTTGCTTCCATTGAAAATTAGGGAAATAAAAAAATACGACACTGAGCTTTGAAAAAAAAGTTTCATTTTCCTGTTTGGTAATGAAAAAGAAATGTTTTTAAATATATTGGAGGGAAATTGTTTGTCCCAAGGATTTTTTCTGTAAAATGTATCTGCTGAATATATAAACTGGAAAGACCTTATCTTGACTCGCTAATTTTCCATTCCATTCAAATATTGAATATATAAAAATAAGAAGATGTGGTATAAATGCCAACGAGACAGTTCTCACAAGAAACCAAAAGACACAAAAATCAACAACTCTTGTGATAATCAAGACCCATACGTATTCATTTCATTGCAAAATCATAACTCATTCATATTTTCTTAGTTACTACATATTCAATCTGTGACATCTTAATTTCATTTAAAAGGATTATTTAACTTGCATCAATTAAATTTTCAACAAATATAGATTGTTACAAGAAGAGGTGGGGTGCCAAGTATATACTTCTAATCGAAAGAGGAATATACTGACCCATTGATTCAGTAACAAATAAACATGTTGAAATTATAACCCGTGATAAATTATTTGACATATAAAAACCTATTCCAGTAACACGAACAATACAGTCGTTACAGTCCGCTCATTACCGATCCCTACATTCGAAAGGCGGAGAGAATCGGAAACGGTAAGGGCTTGAATTATTCGAGTTACTACTCCAGCGCCACGTCTGTATAATACCTGCATATAGGAAGAGACCCCCTTACTTATAGACACATTGATGTGCAACTGTGCTAGTACTTGATACACATGTAAAATTAAGCCCCAGTATTGTGAGGCCTAGAATCTTATGACTGCCTGGTACTTACATATAGCTTGTGATAATGTTATTCTGCCCAGCAAGGGCGCCGTAGTTGGAATAAAATTGAAGCAGTAAAATGGGAACAAGTAAAATCGGTACCTGGTCAAATCGGCAAATATTTAAAGTCATTTCGGAATTTGATTAACAATTATGAAAAAGCCATCTTTTAAATATTATGTATATAGAATTTTGTATAAAGATGCAACTTGATGTAAAAGACATTTAATGCTTTGTCATTTAGTTTTGTGACCTTATCCAACATTTCGAAGGACAGACTAATCTTATCGTTCACACGGTTGATCTACGTTTCAAAATCTTCCAATATATAGAATTTATTTGAAAAATTGTTCTCGTCCTGCATATGCATAAATTATTTGCCACCGGACGTTTAGTAAGTCAAAACTCATCAACATGCCATTGTCCGGAATTGATTGCAATATTTGCCGCTGGACTTTAAGTATATATTCATCCATCGTTTTTTGCATATGCCTATTTATGTAATATCTGTATCTGTATGCAGTTTTGGTTAGATTTTTCGTGTTTTAACGAATTGGTACGAGAGTTTGTACTCTTTGATTAAATTCAGTGAGAATGGGATTGTGCGATAAATAATGTTGCTGGCTTCATCAGAAAATAACTTACATGAATAATGTGTTAAAAAAATGAAAACAAAACTTTATAAGTGTCATGCGTCCGAAGCGTTTTTCTGGATTTACCTTCATCAGGAACGCTCAAAGCTAAATATTTGAAAGCCAAGGATGTATAAGAACCGAACATTTTCAGAGCTATAAATATGACTAAAAAGGACCAAAAGATAATACCTAAATCCATTTAAGGTCAACTTTACCTGACGGAGTTCAAAGTATTCTTTTCCTTTCATTTCCATAATTACTATAAAAAGAGAAGATGTGGTATGATTGCCAATGAGACAACTGTCCACAAGAGACCAAATGACACAGAAATTAACAACTATAGGTCACCGTACAACCTTCAACAATGAGTAAAACCCATACCGCATAGTCATAAAAGGCCCCGAAATGACAAATGTAAAACAATTCAAACGAGAAAAATAACGGTCTGATTTATGTACAAAATAATGAACGAAAAACAAACATGATATACAGCAACAAACGACAACCACTGAATTACAGACTCCTGACTTGGGACAGGCAAATACAGAACGTGGCGGGGTTAAACTAGTTTGAAGGCGTGCCAATCCTCCTCTAACCTGGGACAGCGGTGCAACAGTACAACATAAGAACCAAGTATAAAACTCAGTTGAAAAGGGCTCAACTCGTCAGATCGATATAAAGCAGTACATATTACTGTACTACTCATTGCAGATCTAGTTTTGCTCAGGATTTATACAATTTACTTTACATCAAAATAAGCATGTATAAAAAGGGCCATTTTTATCTATTTTAAAACTATCGGAAACAAATATGGACTTTGATTGTAGTTAACCAGAAGGTCGATGTTCGATGATTTTAGATACTGTTTCGATATATTCAACATTTATCTTCAATAAATTGTAGTGACCGAATAACTCAAAATATCTATCACATTTTTTGTTCTTGCATTGGCTTCGTGGTCATAATTGTTTGTAGCAGTAAATTACGTTCAACTTGCCTCTTGAACAAACAAAAGTAGCCAACGTTGACAGTAAATGCGTTTCTTTTTTTATACATGTGTGTTGTTGTGTTTCAACTATATATAAAGACTTCTTACTATATTAACTCGTCAACTATTGAGAGAAAATAACGTTTAGAATAAAATGTAATTTAAGCCTTTGACAGGCTCAGAGTTGTAGTTACATTTTAACGACTTATGTATGAAACATACGTAGCGACGATCTTTGACAATAAATTACACACAATGCAACGTGTAAGGAAGTAACAAGTTCACCTAGCACGTCAAATAACACTTGTATTATCTTTTTGATGTTACAGTAGTGATTTACTGCAAAATACCTGTAGCAGTCTCGGGATTCAAATTTGTTGCTTAGTAAGTGTCTAATCTTAATATATATATATATTGTAGATGTTTTAGGTTATTTGTATAATTTGGTTGCTATCTCATTGACGTATAACCCTTATCTCATTGACGTATAACCCATTATCTCATTGACGTATAACACTTATCTCATTGACGTATAACCTTTATCTCATTGACGCATAACCCATTATCTCATTGACGTATAACCCTTATCTCATTGACGTATAACCCTTATCGCATTGACGTATAACCCATATCTCATTGACGTATAACCCTTATCTCATTGACGTATAACCCTTATCTCATTGACGTATAACCCATATCTCATTGACGTATAACCCTTATCTCATTGACGTATAACCCATATCTCATTTTATTCATTTGAAATACTCATCACAAGGGTTTAATCAATAGTTCCTTTCATCGGAGGGATATGTATATATAAAAATAAGAAGATGTGGAATGATTGCCAATTAGACAACTCTCCACCCGAGACCAAATGACGTAGAGGTTAACAATTATAGGTCACCGTACGGCCTTCAACAATGAGAAAAACCCATACCGCATGGTCATAAACATTTAGACAGGTAAATCTTCCGATGGTTAAAAAAAAGTTGAAAGTCATATCTGCAATAACAATTCCAGCACACAGTCGAACACTATGGTTCTTTTTATTTTTATTTCATTGTTTATTTGAAGTAACTTTGAGCAAACAGGTAGAGAGGAAGAACATTTGAATGACCTTAAATCTAAAACACAAAGTTTTTCTCTCTTTTTGTATATTTCATGTTCTGCATTAAAATTCCTACCACTGCTTTACTGTTTCAAAACCTGGACATTTCCTGTGTTGGCAATTTTTCAAATTGTAAATGTAGGACGGTCCAATAAAAAAATGTAAGGATGATGTTTGTATACGTTGTTTTTTCTAGTCGCAAATCAATAGTGTATAACTACAAATAATCACGAAAAACGTATTTTATTTTTAATATTGAAATGATTAATTTTACAGTATATGAAAAACGCTGCTGTGCACATGAAAAATAAATACAGTATACATTGAAACTATATAAAACACACTTAGTAAGTCAAAAAGGAAAATAGAATAATGAAATAAAAAAATTAATAAAGATGCTGGATAGTAAATATCTTTTATGAGTATGAATTTTCTTTTAAAGTTCTGACATAACTCTTCAAACTGGACATCTTTTAACGAAAAGAGTATCAAACGAGTCATTCTCATTTTTTATCAACAAAGAAAAGAGGATTGTTTTACTCCTTATTGCTATAGTTATATACATTGGTATTGCATAGCAACAACATATTACATACAGAATGTAATCAAAAATTTGCGTGCAACAATACCCCACTATTGCACTAGTGCAAATAAAACCTCAAATTAGCGATGTCTTCAGTAACACAAATATGTGTTCAACAGTTTTTTTCTTCAAAGTTTGCTAAATACAATTAAATGATTATGGCATGCACATTCTAACTCGTAGATCTATCAAGCTCGTGATAATACTATACAATTACTGTCTTTTGTTTTGGTGTCGTAGTCGGTTTTATTGACTTGAAAAACTGATAATCACTGAGGCCGTCAAAAGTCAATTAAACCACATATTTACCGAAACAAAAGACATATTCCATTTTCCGAGAGAAAACAATGTATTTGATGTTAAATATTTACTAAGTCCAATTGTATATTAGACATTTTACAATAACGTTAAAGGTAAAAGCGCGTTACGTTCAGCGCGGTGAATGTCACTTTTCTCCAGGTGAATTTGCTTTTTTTTTTTAAATCCAATTCATAGAGAGAAAACTAATATGAAATAAATACCTTTACTGGCAACATAATTTAGCTTTTAGTTAACGATGTCCTTTTTGTATCTTTTTGTAATTAATACTAAAATTTGCCTAATCTCTCAAAATTGCAGTTTTGAGCATTGTTAACTTGTTCAGCAATAAGCCAACCTTAAAACACAAATATTTAGATGTGTTCTACTGAAGGTAAGTAAAGATTAGAACACTTTTTGAAAATGACCCTTGTGTGAAATTAATTCAGGGAAAATAGGTCATACTCTTTAAAAGACAATTAAAACAACATTCAGTATAATATGTAAAAAAAAACACCACAGAGTTAAATGGGTGATAGATCAGATTGTTACCACTCGAAAACATTGTAAACTTGACTCAATCTGCTATATCATCATCTCAGCTATGCGTTATCTATATATTATCACAGGCGATAAAATGATTATGTAAATATCTTCCAATAATGTCTTTCCCCCCCCCCCCCCCCCCCAAAAAAAAAACAGGTTCACATTTTCGATATCCTTTCTGGGTATGCAAATAAGAAAAAAAATCATTTCATCTTTTTTCGGTGTTTAAAGGGTAGCCCGTCGATTAGTAAAGAGATATAATTGTTTTATTTCTAATTTGCCAAATATACATAATGGGTGTTATGAAGACAGTCATTGCCATCTATAAAGTGTTATGTCCTTTGACAGGTTTTGAGATAGTTCAATAAAATTATTTTGAGACTCGTTTCCCTTTGAAAGATATTTGACTTTGATGCTTTTTTTATGTTGTGTCGGTTGTCTTTTAGATAAAAAATTCTATACTATCAACGTTTAAAAGACATTTACTGTTCTTTTTCATACATCTACGAAAGATATAACATATGTTTTTTTTTTTTTGTATACAATAATAAGGAGGTTGGTAAGACTGCCAAGAGTAAAATATCCACCAGAGACCAAAGACGACGATATAAACAACTGTTCAAGTAATAACTTGCCAAAGTTCTTTATATATCTTTTTGGAAGTGCTAACGTCTAGTTACAACAAAAGAAACTGTTACGACTAATATTTAAACTTAAAAGTTTCTGGATACTTAGTATATGTCGTTGTGCATTTACGAAAACTACGTTTTTCATATTGCAATTGAATTCGGAATATTGCTTGGTAAAAGTCTAGTATACGGAATGAAGTTCGGATTCTGGTTTCCTGCTATGATTTCTTGGTTTCGCACATTAATCTCCTGTTCAATTAGGGCCAATTCTGCTCTGAACCTATAATATAAAGTGACTTTAAAGAAATGTTTTAATTCAAATAAATAATGATATCGATTATGAAAAATATTTTATAGGATTCACTAGAAAATTGTTGTGCCATTATACTGCACATAAATCGGAATCAAATGATATAATACAATCGCTTTTGACTTACCTCATTTTTAAATGTTTGTTCGTTTACTAATTTGAATAAAAAGATACGAAATGATTGCAAATGAGACAAACGTCAAGCAAAGACCAAACTACGTAGTTAAAGCAACAATAGATCACCGTGCGTTCGTCAAAAAAGAGCAAAATAAGCTATACAAGGCCTGACATGACAAAATTTAATACAAATTAATCGAGAAAACTAAAGGCTTGCAGAAAGTTTTGTTTTGTAAAATATTCTGACAAAAGCTTTATCAATCATTCTCTGACATTCAAAACTCTCCTTATGTATAGATATATACATAAGGAGATGTGGTATGTTTGTCATTGATCCACCAGTAACCTAAGGTATCTACAGTATAGAGTTCTGTGCAAATGAGAGAAAAAATTATACCGTATAGTGAGATAAAAATGTCCTTTGCATGACATAAAATGAAATCTTTGAAAAGAGAAAACCACCTGATTTATGCTTAAACAAATAACAGACTCTTGCCTTGGCACATGTAAATTAGGAACGGGGTTAAATATGTTTGTAAACGTTTAACCTTTCCTTAACCTGGTACAGTGGTGTTAGAGCACAACAGAAGAACTAACTAAATAAAATCAGTCGGAAAAGACTGGACTCAGAAGAGCAACAATCAGCACACAAAAAAACCTTAATAAAAAGACAAAAATATCACAGGTTACTGACCCAAGAGTTCGTGCAGGTACTGAAAATGAGTTTCCAGTCTATTCCAATTGATAAATAAATATTTGTTTTCCAAAACTAAAATTTGAATCAGTACATATCCAATAGATTGGGCCATAAACAGTCTTTGAGAAGCATGACATTGCGCATTTTCAGCATATAAGCATCGACAGGATGTAGAACTATACAATCATATGGATTGAGATAATTTTATTTTTTAAATTAATGAAAAATAAAATTAATTTTTATCTGATGACGACATTATTCCATGACCTTACGGTAGTGTAAAATTGACAACCTTTACGAATAACTTAAATTATTCAAAGGACCAATTACTTTAAATTGATAGTACTTATATGCACTGGCTTTATAAAAACATCACCGTAAAAAATAAGGATGTGATATCATATTTGAATATATATTTTAAAAAGTAGATACAAGCTTCCAAACAAAAAATGTGTATGAATAAAAGAAATTCCTAAATGTTGTAAATAACTTGTGGACACAAAACACGAGGTTTTGTTTCTTTTTTTTTGTGCAATGATGATCCCTTCTCTTTCGCTGTGTTCGTGTCAGTATTGAACGTTAACTTTCCATGAATGGTAAATTATTAGGCCATTGATTCAGTTATTATAAATTACTTAAAATATCTCTTTACTCTTCTAAAATATATTACTTTTGTTTAGTTTTTAAGAAGGCATAACACCACTGAATTCAGTGTTTGTAAAGGAATCGGAGGACAGGAAATTCAGGACAAAAAGTCAAATAATATTGGAAAATTTACCAAACACTTAGTTAGAATTAAAGCTTATTCAATGCAGACCTGGCTTTGGGTAGTTGCAAAAGCCAGAGGTCTTACTAGGATTGAAGAACATTACACTTCACTCTATACTACTTACGCATTAAGGATTGTCACTGCATTTGGGTCTTCAATTAATTGAACTTCAGACTGTCCGAGTGGTTGTGTTGTTTCTTGACTGAGAAGAGTAAAATTCGTCATGATGTCAAAGGTTTCTCTGACTGATGGAAGACAATCTAATACAGCTTGGTCGTCTATCTCATTCTTAAAAAAATACAAGCGATGATATTATAATTCATCATAAATATATGGATCTATCTATAAACCATGTTGGTGCCATGTCACATGTTATGCTAATAAATCAACTAAAATACAAGAATGATCCTTTCTTTGAAAAAATTTTTTAATTTAATCATCAGTCAAGTATCATAAAATAGCTTTCAACTAATTTTAAACACAAACAATACAGTTATTTGTTTTTTTATATTTTTTATTTCGACCATTAGAATACACGTGACTGTATAATCAAATAAAAACAAACAATACCGCATTTTGAGGTGGTGCTCCATGCAGTAATGTTGAATAATTTGGCGGGAATCCATATTGATCATACTGTGGAAAATTTGTAGCAGCATGCATAACCGAACATATGAATATTGTTGATGTTAGGGTATCAATAAGCTGATCAGTTGTCTCGAATCTGCCGTTGTTTCCTGGAACTCCCTGTAAAATTAAGTTGTTTTTACTTGATAAGTATCAAAGATTGTATATTTTCTATCGGCAGAACAGTCATATTCATATTCAAAACAAAATAAGACTTCTGTATCAGTTATTGCATTTGCCTGTAGAACTTGCAAGTTTAAATTGAGTATTTCAGACAAATGGTTAACTAAGTAGTACTTGTGATGTCGAGTTTTCCCAAGTACCAAACACTTACTGTTGTTTTTCTTCCGTAACTTTAAGTTTTTAATGTATAAATTGTAATATTTTTAACAAATACTTCTCCAAATATGTTTCTTCTGCGACGACAAGCTACTTAAAATAATAATTTTTCAATTATCGTATTTCTATTTTTTAATGAAGTTCCTTCACGGTCTTGTCAAAGCATGGGTAAGCTTATTATAGGACCTGCAAGACTTTATTGATTTTCAATGTGACATTGTGTATGTATACATATGCCATCGATAGCAAAAGCCATAACTTTTTAGATTAACCTACCTCTAGGGAATCTCCCTAAATTTTCAAACTCACAATCTAATAATTGCAAATGCCGCTGCCATTGGAAACACCATACCTTTATCGCACGTTTTTTTTTTTTCCATTTCGTCGAGGTGAGAATAATTATAACATTGACTGTGAAATCTAATTTAGTAGTTAACTCACCTGCATTCCAATTCCTCCATTTTCTTGTGCACGTGGTAGGACTAGTTCTGCGTAAAAGGCCTGTATCTCAGTGTCGCCTAACAACCTAGTCATGATATCTTTAATCAATCAATACAAATATTAGTGTTTGCAAACATATCCTGTAAATATTCTTTAAAATAAAACTTACTATAAGTGTGCTTCGTCAGTTCTCATGATGACATCGTTAAACATGTATCGGTTATTGCTTATATTTTGCAATTCATCAAACGAGGATTATTAATGGCGATCGTCTTTAGTGAAAATTGAAACAAGTTCTGCAAAAAACGATCACTAAATACCAAAAACAAAAAAAAAATCAGACAAACCTAATAGAATTAAAAAGATGTTACCAAATTCTACAGTAATGATTGATCAGAGCAGACAATTTCTATACGTGAAGAAGGATCCTTACTGTTAAGATTATCATGATTATCACATAATAAAATTGAGAATCACATAAACTTATTTCTTTGTTATTTTGTTTCATTTATTTATACACATGTATGTGGCACCTATAAATTGGATCTAACAATCACCAATAAACTCATCGTAGACACCGGGCTAAACTTGTGTATGCTAGAAGCGCCTTTCGTATACAAAGGACTCACCCGTGATCAAACAGTTACGAAAACACCAAATGAAAAACGAAGTTGAATAATATTGAGGACCCGGGATTCTAGCTAGTGACTATGCAATATGTCGATATATTATGTGTACCGAGTCAAAACACTTAATGATACACTCTTATTCTAATGGTAAAACGTTGATTATATATTTAGAATTAAATATTTACCAAGGACAAATTATATAGAAGAAACTAGTTTTTGGACATATGGAATAAACTAGTTTTAGAACATAATTGAATTCCGTTACATTCCGCAATAGTTGAGAGAAGAATTTCGAATAAAGAAAAAAAAAAAGGATCGGACATTTAGATATTTTGTACAGATAAAATGACAGTTCTTTTTGTATAATTCTTCTTGTAAAATTGTATAATACAATGTGTTTAATTTATTATTGATTTTTTTTGTATTTTGTTGGCTTAAATTTAACGGTGATGTCTGGCCGTAACAAAAGTTTATCATGTGCAATTTCGATGATCTATCTAGCTATTTCATGCAAATCAAATAAACAAGTTTATAAAATTGGTGGGTCGTAATTGCTTCTCGATGTATTTGATGCGACTGTCATACAAGTGAGATGTTTAGCGCTATAAAACCAGGTTCAATCCACCATTTTCTACATAAGAAAATGCCTGTACCAAGTCAGGAATATGACAGTTATTGTCCATTCGTTTGATGTGTTTGTGCTTTTGATTTTGCCATTTGATTAGGGACTTTCCGTTTTGAATTTTCCTCAGAGTTCAGTATTTTTGTAAATATTTCAAGGCAAACCCTCAGAGGCTGAAAATTATACATGAAAGTTCATGTAGCCTGCTACAAAGATATGTTGATTTCTGATTTGAACAGCGCTTTTAAGGAAGAATTTACTTTAGCCCAAGTTAAAACATTATTTCTAAATGAACGGAAATGTTAGAAATTAACACTTCAAATAACAAGCTTGATATCTCTTCAAAGTGAAAGATATTCCAAACACACGGGCATAATTGAAACTATTATATAAACAACACTCATTTCAGATAGGAAAGTAAAACCTGTTAATCATTTTAGAAAAATATATAACCACATTGTACCTGCAGCACAGATCAGTTGGGTCGAAATATTGTTTGACTAGTAGTTATCCTTGCAGCTTGTCACCATCTTATGGTGTTTATATATCTCAACTTGTAAGATTCGCTCGTGTATGTAACCATGGTAACAACGTGTTAGATTTTAGCGAGAGATATTTGTGTATTACTGAAAAATTATTACACCAGGATTTTCGATATCACAAACTGGTCAAAACTTTAACTAAATTTTATCATCGATACAAGGACATCATTTGTAAATATAATTCAAATGCAGACATCTTATACGTTCAGGTATTTCACATCCAATTTTTTATTGTAATATTCTTTACAAAGCACAAAAATATCGGCATTCACCTTCAAAGCTAACAAACCTTTACACAGACTTATCAAGAAGGGATATAGTTACGATACTGTTGTCAGGTCATTAAAGATTGCATATTTTGGCTTTAATATTGATTCACTTATAGGGTCTTTGCATCGGAAATAAACACATTTATTCTAAAACCAGTTATTGTCATGATACGGGTTATGTTCTTCTCATATATTTTATTTAGTTTAACATAGAAAAACGCTGCGAATTAAGATTTTAATAAATCACGAATTCCATAAAAAAAATCCTGGAGATCTGAGGGGCTCTGGAAAGGTAAATAGATCCTGTCCAAATATGGCACTCGTCTTGAAACTGCCAACAAACTATGTTACCTAAAGGGACTAAATATTACAGCTGCATCCTTCTAAGATCTGTTTCATTCAGTTATATAGAGTTCTCGAATCATTTAAGGTAACAGATGATATTACTCGTAAATGGAGCGGGTTACCTAAAATCTTTAAAATCAATCATTCTCATTTTTAACATTTGATATAAAAAAAGAAGATGTCTTATGCTTGCCAATGCGACATTTCTTCACAAGAGACCAAATGACACATATATTAACAACTTAAGGTCACCGAACGGCCTTCAACAATGAGTAAAGCCCATACCGCATAGTCAGATATAGAAAGCCCCGAAATGACAAATATAAAACAATTCAACCGAGAAAACTAAAGTCCTAATTTATGTACAAAATAATAAACAAAAAGAAAAAGGTAACACAGCAACAAACGACAACCAATGAATTACAGGCTCCTGACTTGGGACAGGTACATACATACAGAATGTGTCGGGTAAAACATATTAGCGGGATCCCCATCTCCCCCTAACCTGGGACAATGGTGTAAAAGTACAACATGAGAACAAATTATACAAATCAGTTGAAAAAGGCTACACTTAAAACCTCAGTTTTTCACAGCTTGTTCAAAACCAATAACATATAATATAAAAATCATGACTAAATTATCAATCAGTACACATCCAGCATCCAATGTGTTTAGTGTAAAAACGTCATAAACAGTCAGAGAAAAACATGATCGTGCATTGCCGGCTTTGTTTTTTTAAGAAATGGTTTTAATTCAAGGATTCGTTCTTAGATATCTTAGATATTATTAATAAATGACGATGAGTAAGATCTTTTTCATAAATTCACAGGTTCTTTACGGGTTCATTTTGTAACAAGGCAGCACAAATAGGATACTTCCTCTTTTATTGTCTTCCTATTTATGACAATAACGACATAATTTCATGAATTGTCCACCCTCCAGCGAATAAACATTTGTTTACAATGTTAGGATCCAAAATGTACAACCAGATTCCTTTTTATTTATATTTATGACGGAATTCATTACATAGACTTCATAAACTGATTTCATCTCTTTCAATGATGTAATAAAGGTCAATATTTTAATTTTACCAGATAAAACTAACTTACCCTCGTCATTTAGTCCTGAATAGTAGTGATGGACATATTGCTCTACATAATTGTGTATAACATTGTATAGTCGCAAACCATCTTCGGCATAAAAAAACCCAGGTATGTTAACCTTGTTAACTCCATCATCACCTGTAAGCTGCAAATACATTAAACTATCTCTATAATTTATCATATATTCTTAATTTATTTGGATGAACCGGGCATTCATGTAGCGACGAATTCAGAAGTACGTTGAAGTGTGATCAGGGTGCGCATTGATCTAGCTCTATCTTAAAAGATTGAACAATATATTATTTTATCTGAATCTTTCCATTAATTTCAAACATACATGTACCCACTGCAGTAAGTAAATCCAGCCCTGTTCAAACAGCTTTGTAACTAAATTCCGGTGCGGTTATCAATTTTTAGAATTTTAGGTACCGGTTGTTCATATTTATATGCTGATCAACACATATGGACTTGTTGGAAACCTGACATTATAGAATTTAATGGACAGAGAAATGTTCTCTTAACTCCCTTTCAATGATAATCTACGCATGTGGATGCGCAAATACATTAGAATTGAAATCTATTTACTAAAGGGAAATATCAATATTCAACACTGTCAATAATACATATGGATATGAAAGACACAACCATAAGTTTGAAGAAAGTAGACAATTTTTTAGTTGAGATGCTAGTATTGAGTTATGTCATCATTGTAAAATGTACCGAAGAAGGAGGTGTTAATCATAGTTAAAATTGTGGGAAATTTGAGTTTTTAAGGACTAACATTATCATTTATTCATAATAAAAATTCACAGTGTTATCATTTACAAAATGCGGAATGTATCAAAATTCAAAAGTCAAAACAATTTCACTTGACATATTTACAGGCCCTTTTCAAGCTAAATTATAATGTGTAAGTCAGATATCGTTTAAGCTTTTCACTGTCATAATACAATTTTAAGGTGCAGTTCTTATACATACTTAGTTTCAAATATTTCACTTGAGAGGATCCTCGATGAAGATTAATCCCCAAAAGCGCCCAGGACGCATACAATTCAATAAGAGTTGCATGTTTGCATATTTTTGTTACAATGATAGCTTTTTCGCTATCCGTATAACTACATGTCCCACATAACTAAAACTGACTTTTAAAACAGACTTCACATATAGGAATCTGATGTTCAGTAGTTGTCGTTTGTTGATGTGGTTCATAAGTGTTTCTCGTTTCTCGTTTTTTATATAGATTAGACCGTTGGTTTTCCCGTTTGAATAGTTTTAAACTAGTAATTTATTGGGGCCCTTTATAGTTTGCTATTCAGTGTGAGCAAAGGCTCCGTGTTGAAGACCGTACTTTGACCTATAATGGTATACCTTTATAGATTGTGACTTGGATGGAGAGTTGTCTCATTGTCACTCATACCACATCTTCTTATATCTATACACATGTATAAAAGCGTGCAAGCATACCAAAAAAAATATTAAACTATTTAAGAGTATATCCAATTAGAAACGTAGTGTTACATTTAATTATATACAACATGTACTTACTCCTCTTTCTTGTAGATCTACTGGAAACGTGCCATCGATATTCATATTCCAATCGCCCAACCTATAATTACACAAAAATAGTCTACAACACCTATTCATTCTCTTTGTAAACCTGATTGACTTGTAAAGGATAAACACCTATATGTTTAAACCAAACACCATTTTCCTGTTTTCAAGAGACGTTATCATGTGGCTAATTCACTTGAATTCTGCTTTTAAAATATCAACAGGAAGTTGTCAAGTATGTCGGTTTTTAACTCCAAAACGAGGGAAAAAAACCAGGTTACTTTTTATTTATTTGAATATTTACTTATTTCAAAAGGTACTGATTTGACCCAATTTTTTATGATATGTTGATCAGGTTTATAACATCGTTTATACAAATTACAAAAAAAATCAGAAGAAACAACTAACAATGCGTGAACACCTTTTTATATATAGGTATTAGCATTTCGTGCGTATTTTAGATTATACGCCATCTAATGACCCCGAAGACTGTTAATGGTCATATAACCTAACCAGAGATACATATAACTTTAGATATAAAGTTGCAGACAAAAAGTGCAATCATATAACGGCGATTTTTCTAGGTCTGTTTAGCTTCCTGTTTAGAATATTTGTATATTTTTTCACCTGAGTGTATAAGAATGATTTTTGTATGGGCTGAATCAGTCAACAAAATAACTACATACACTGCTTAGGTCAAACTAAAGTTTGCAAGAATACGGATTGAAATAGAGTTGAATTATTTATTTGCATGCCAATAGTTAGTCAGTGAGGATTTTTAGCTGATGTTCGGCGAAGTATGTGAAAAAATGGAGGTGAACCTTCACTATTTCAAGACAATTACCGTTTTCTATATATATCTGTCACAGAGGTCAATATACATATTCTTTTTGGTATGGTCAAAATTTGATCGGCATGCCAAATGCATTTGTTTCATTAAAAATTATTACAGAAATCTTATTGTTAGTATAAAACGAAAGATTCAAAACACTTGTTTAACTGTTCACGTTTTCTTTCGTGTTCATGATATCCCTGCCTTTTTTAGATTATCATGTTATAATTTTGTGTTTTAACCTTCGTAGCTACCTTTATTTAATTTCCATTACATAACTACTAGTTCTGAACCCTTTAAGTCAATAGATAGTATTAATTGATAGTATTAATTTGTATTGAACTATTACTGCAACAAGCGTTTTTATATTGAACAATATAGAAAAATAACATTTGAATATATCAAATAGACATAACTTGCTTTACCAGCAAATAATAATCAGCGTATCATTTCTGATCTTCGTTAAAAACTGATATTCCTCCTAGAAGTTTGTACACATACCTTTGTTGAATCAATTGTAAAACTCCAGCTGAATGAATGTTCATTGTTGTGTCAAGGTATCCTCCAGGGATAAACAGTAAATCGCGTGCCATTCTGCCAAAAAAAAAATTGTTACAGTTAGATAAAACACTCAAATTGTAGATAATCTGCAAATTAGTTTTAAATAAACCTTTATACACTATTTTATAAAATCACATATTTGGTCATGTTGAACTGGCTTAATTTTAAAGACAAGTACTGTAAATCGATATCCTCAAAACAAATGCATCATACCATGAAATATTATTTCATTCTTTAATAACACTCTCATGTTTTCTGAAAACACCTTTCACCCCCTTCCCTTGCTATTTTTTTTCTTATGAATATTTTTATGTTATTGTAATCATTGACTGTATTTTGTTACATACATATTTCTTCGCTATTCAGCATGCCTTCAAAGCTTGTAATTTTATTTTTGAATTTAGGGAGACGGATTTATATAACAGCACTGCTCTTGTTTCCTAATCCCAATTATTGAATCTTTTGTATATTTCGTATTTATGTCTTTACCCTTGTAGCTATATATATATATAACGATTTCTTTAATAAAATATGTTTACAACCTACCCATGATGATTTCCTATAATACAATATCTTTTCTCAAAGTTAATATTCCCTAAACATGCATTTTGTTAAAGGAGTATGATAAGAAACTTTTTTGGACCCTTAAACTTTAAAATCAGCAGTAAAATTATTCTGGCGCGTCAAAAGGATGGATAGTTGATAAATATAATTATAAATAAATATTGTTTGTACAAAGTTTTACCCCAATTATAGTTGGTACTTAAAAAGTAAATCTTGTAGACAAATATGTTTTAATGTATCTAGCAAGTTATATCATGATTTCAAAATGTTGCTTTTTTTGTGGTAGTTACAGTTTTGCACTACACACAAGAAGATTGAACCCAAATTGAAAGTGTTTTTCAGACAAATTTTCAAGATATCAAAATGTATTTACTAGTCATAAAATGAGTCATAAACATCTGACGGAGGTTGTTTTGTACAATTGTTTTTTCTTCTTATTTCAAAATCAATAAGCTGACAAATTACTCTTCCTTTGTATAGCGAAAAGCTTTTGATACTTACTCGTTGATTGCAAGGTTATAATAAAAATGTGGAACAAGCAATTTATAAATCGGGTGTCTTGTTGAGAGATTGCGGTGTACACAAATAGCAACGCCTTCCATTAATAAATGAGTTAGCCCTGCAATAAATATAAATTATTATATCAACGGAACATGTATATATTTATATCATATATTTTGTAAATGTTTGGGAAAACACGAAGGCAAAACATAATGATGCAGCAATATCAATTGTTTGTTCTTCCATTAAAAAAAAACATGTGTATGACGAAAGTACCGTGTAATAACGTTATAGATAATGCATATTTTAAGGTTTTTCTTGTCGTAGAACACACCGAGGGGTGTCAGGATTTATCAAATGAAAGACCGACCGTAGGGAGGTCTTTCTTTAGGCAATCCTGACACCCCGAGGTGTAATAAAGATTTGCAAAATTTAGCATCGTATTTTACCGACCACACTAAAGTGGGATATTCCTTTCTAATGCGTCCAGGTTTAATACGCCCTACGGCTCATTTAGAATGTGAAATAAAACTCACTAATTAATCTAAATATAAACCTTAGAAATTATTATCCATACACAATAAAAATATTACTGTAACTGCATGAAGTAAGACACAAATGAATTGTTACCATCCGATAACCCTGTATGAAAAGACATACAAGACACTTTGTAAGTAATTTATTGTACCAACTTTGTTTATGGAAAAAGGGGGGAGGTTGCTATGTTGCTGGGTTTTTTTTCTATTTGTAATGTCATTTCTATCGCGGAAAAGTTGTTATTTATTCAACAATTTTAATTGAATCGAATGATATATTCAGAAAGATTTTCTTTTGAATAGCAATGAATTTTTTTAACAGATAATCAGGATATAATTATATACCCCCCACCCCATCCCCCGCCACCCGACCCTATTGTGAGGTACATGTACGTGAATGTTATTCAATAGAATATAAGAATATTTTATTAGTTGATCATTTGATAGAGTAAAAGGTATACATAAATTGAAAAAAGTTAAGAAAATGGCACGAAGGGAGCACGAATTCGTGATACATGTACATGTAACACGAAAAAGAATATCAATACATGATTTCCTATTCATTGTGTATCGTCCTGAACATGCATGAAATATTTGACACTGGACGTTAAGCATCCAACAATCAATCAACCTATTTAAGTCAAAATCTTACACACGAATATGTTAAATCTGGCTTTATTTTAAAGTGTTATGAAAGTTTTACATTAAAATTCATCTCACATATATGATAACGTCTCTGTATTGTAGCGATAAATTAACAAAACATCACGTTATGTGTTTCTAAAATTAAAATGCGGGCAATGACGATTTTTTTTACACCTATAATAGATTGAACTTTAAAAAATAAATTCCCAAATCGGAAACAAAAAACTATCAGACGAATATAATTTTGAAATAAATTATAGTTTGCAGTTTTATCAAGGAAAATAATGACCTCACACAGGTCATTATTTTATGCCTTGGAGCATATTTCATTGAAACATGGTATCGTCCGGGTTGATTCTTCGAAAGAATGACCTATCGTTCTGAAAGAAAATAACTCCATATAAGTATATAAATGAGAGATACAAAGTGATAGATAAACTGATCAAAACATAATGAATTAAATGTAAATGATTAATACAGTGTTTAACTACGTTTCTTCTTTTAAATTTTGTTGAAGGGAAATGTGTCATTATATCAACAATATCAGAACCACATCTGTGAACTATCAAATACTTTACCAAAAAATATGATTATTGTATGATATTCTAACCTTCCGTAGAAACTGATATCACCTTCAGATTTGATTGAGTTTGTGGTGCTCAGTCTTTAGTTTTCTTTAAAGTACATTCTGATTAGATCAGACAACTAGATGAATAAATAATAGAAACCCGCTTTTAAAGAGAGTCTAACCACAGAAACGGCATTTAACTTTGATTGGGAATTTGACTTAAACATTCAATTTACGGAGGAAAACATAATAGGCGAGTGACAATTTTCAAAAAGACGCTTAGTTAACGACTTTTGCACCAACCTAACATACGGCTATATTATATATCATTCGAAAGCTTATTACCTGTACTTTCATGTTTGCCCGGTAGTCAATGATTCGTACGGTGCAATTTTCGTTAAATCAATATCAAAGGTCTAAACTGAGCATTCCAAATGTTTGCTATAATTACACAAAATGCCATTTTCAGGTACTTGTATGGCATTTTATTCCCTAAAATTGATCTAAACCTTATAAAACAAAATTACCATGATTTCAAATCATGTGCAAACTTAAATGTTGATTGCGCTATATTAACAAAAAATTGCATTTCTTGAAAAAACTTCCAAAAATGATAAAATTGCAATAAAATCTAAATGTTTTCTGACATTTGAATATTTGTATGTCAAAAATAGAATAGATGTATTGTGTATGGACCGAGGGAATTTTTTCATTACTTTAAACTGCAATTAAAATGATGTAGATCCAGATGGAGCCTTCTAATGAAGCTTTTGTAGTTGCCCCAAAAAACACAATCTGCAAATGGGGATCATTTAGCTTTGTTTTTGCTAGATAAAATTTGCTTATATCGGCAGATAATTATCAACAATATTTAAAAAGAGGTTATGGAAGAACTTTAAGGAACAAAAGAAGTATATTTGGTAACAATTAGTTTCCCGATGTGGAAAGACATGTTACGAAGATTATGCTCGTTCAATGTTCGAAAGAAAACTGTCTGTACCATGTGCTTTTCAATGTTAAATCCGGCGAATTCCTTTTAATGTTAACCCATTATAATATACTTTGTTAGTTGTTTTATTAAATATGACTGAAAATTAATAATTCAGATTATTTAAAATTGAATAACCTTAATGAACAACTGTAATCACCATACTGGTTTATGTATTGTTCACACAATTCGGTATAGTGTTTTAAGAAGATTTGTTTGTCTGTCTTACTTTTTCGCCATGGTCATGCTGTCATCTGTTTTTCTTCGACCATGGTTTGAGACTGCCTCCATATTATTTTATCCCTTCTTTCAATCAAAGAAAAGAAAACCATAAATTTCAAAGCTGAGCGAAAAATGACAACAGAACTTAAAACTCAGATATTGATGCAAACAATAAGTTAGTAAAACAACATAAATTACCGAACTCCAAGTGAAATTTCAAAACAGAAAGTCTCTTATCACATATCAAAACCAAAAGCTGAAACACATCAAACGATTGGAAAACAGTTGTGATATACCTCGTAGTTCTCTCTCCATCTCTATCTATCTTTATATGATATAGCGGAAATGTAGGAATCATCTTGTCCTTACGTCCTTTTCCCTTTTGTTCGTTCCATTCACATATCCATATGTTAGTCTCAAAATTGTAATGAACAATATTCCTTCGACAACTTGGCAGAATTATGGAAGTTCAAAGTGCACATATGGAGGTTATACGTGAAGGGATTTGTTTCATAATAGACATATTCAAATAGCGCTAAAAACAGTAATCGCTTTACAATGTACATTTACCTGAACATACCTGCTTTCAAGCTTTCTCTTAGTTAATCCTAATCTTATTAAAATGTAGTTCTCTGATTTCGTTATTCTCATGCGATATATGAGCAGGCGAGTCGTGATTGATCTTAATTTTAGTCAGATTGTTTTAACCCATGTTTTTAACACTTATACATAACATTTTGTACGATTTTTTTCATGTCAACTTATATCACTTATTATTGTTGTAAAATCTTCGCACCATTAGAAATTTGAACCGAAAAATATGAAAATAAAGTGAGAAAATCGCAAAAAGTTGCTGTCAGATCAATAACAGAGGGCTCAGTGCACAATTAATATCCACGAACATAATTTTAGATCAGATGACATAAAACCAATTAAAAAAACTGGATAAATTCAACCACAATTTTTTTCATTTCTCACAATTGTATAGATATTTTAGAATAAAATAACTTCATTTTAGCCATATGTATTCTTAATATACATGTACTATCTTTAATATGCCAATAATCAACCAATGCTTTTCAGATGATCTACTAAAATAGTAGATCGTGCTCTTTTTTTTTTAAATGCCTAAAATGAAGATATTATGTGGCAAATCTATATTGAAATTTTAATGCAAAAGCATTAAATTTGAAATAAAAGTGTTTCAAATGCATTTATATTTTCATTTCTATTAAGAAACGTTACTTGTAACATTTAGCCAAATTACACATCAACATTAACACTGCTGTGTTTGGTTAGAGGTTGCCTACTTTTACAAAAGGTGATCAATGCTGATTGGTATATTTGTGTCGTGACACCTACACAGTAACTTCGTCGTTGATACTAATAGCTATAACTAATGTATTGTTGATGGGGATTGCCAGTTTTCCTTTCGAAGGTCGGTGGTTCCTTGGGCATTCCATGGGCCTAAACCATTTATAACTGATAGCCGCAAAATACTTTAGAAGTCAAAAGTTCTAAACCGAAAATTGCGTCAAACACCAACAACCAATCAATCATCTTTATATTAAAATGTATTTATATGTAAACTATTCAGGGAGTAAATTTGATTAATGGAAATGTATGTATTGTTATTGCGAATTGCTAGATTTCCCAATTCAAAAAATAATGTAAGTAAAAATAATTTGAGGGTCTCAATTTATTTACAAGAAATTACGTAGTTGGATAGGATTACATATGTTGGCCAGGCATGCAGAACATTTCAGTGGCTAGCTTATAATAGTTTTCACTTCCTCAATAAATGCAAGATGCAGTATAAGCAACCAAGAAAACATACAAATATGGAAATATTGAATTATCAAAGTTTCGCTCACAAACTTTTTCCTAAATGCACGAATTTTCTGTGTATTCCATCCTTTAACATTTTATCACTTTTAAAATTTGTGTTTTTCAACATATTATCGACTACATACAAATTGTTTTAACAAAGAACAGCTAAAAAGCTATTTTTGCAGATGGCGGTATTTTGGGTAACTGCATGGTTGTTATAATTGGCTGTTTAATTAACAAGAAGCGTAATTGCAGTTATTTTATGATGTCAAACACATTCATAGCACTTAATAAAATATGTTATTTGGTTTTATGGTGAATAACAGTTGAATCACAGACATAAAATTTGGTTTTCATGCATTTTCAATGGAATTTCTGGAAAACAGCGCTATTTATTAAAAATCCGACATTAATATTTCAAAGTGCTTTTGATAAGCCACTATTAACATATGTTCTAACAGATTTCCATATGTCCATACAAAATATCATTATTCAGAAGACATAATATGCAAAAAAATGCTGACTTCTTGTAAAATTAGAAGTTGTCCGTCCTTGACCTTTCGTTGTGATTTGATAGAAACTGCACCATACGAATTTTTGACGACCGGGCAAAAAAGGTAGTGCAGATGATGTGCTTTCGAATGGTATATGATTTAGTCGTATGTTAGGTGGGTGCATTAAAAATAAAATTTTATGATTAATGTCACTCGTCTATAACTGAATCAAACGACAATGTAAACATGCGGGACTATCACTTTAATACCATGCATATGATCGTACATTCAACATACCGACATTTTTTTTTATTTCTTAATAAGAGCTTGACTGATGAAATTGCATTTGCAAATTTAACTATGTTTATCTGCATCTTTCAAAAACGAACTCTTTTTCCATATATGTCGTTATCTTTTTACATTGAAATCGATATCATACAATGGTCGTCTGTTGTGGTGCTTTATTTCCGTCGTCAGTCGGTGACGACTCGATTTTTTACCGTTTCAATCTGAACATCTGTGAAAACGGAACAAAAAATCAAGTCCCGAGCGTGTTCGGTTTGGGCATGTTTAACTGTGTATACATAGATATCAGTATAATATTAAAGAAGGCGGCCAACAACACAGAATGACATTTAAAGCGTGCAATTGTTTATCAACCATTTAATCAATCTGAACACTCAATCATTTCTAAGTGAGTCGACATAATATACATCAAGATTAACAATCTAATTTCCCAACACCTCTCTGAGGACAGAAGGAAGTTTGCTGGATTTGGGATTTGAGAACTATGATACAATAGTGTTTCAGTAACAAAGTTTATGGTATGGATACTATATATAGTCCCTACTCGGTGAATCTGTTGAATTGTCATACTGCTGAACGATATAGACGAAGTCACTGTCATCTTCATCAATACATAACCTATTTTAGGTTATGTTTTAATCAATAAATTATTGCAATAATATAAAGAAACCGTTGGAAATTCAACACATCCACACAAAACTGAATTCACAACCCCTATTAAACTAAATTCCATCTCTGGTCAACTTATGTCTGGAGACAACTGTTATAAATTCACGTTCAAACTAATCAACGGCTATAATTTTGAATATTTCAAGAAAAAGAAACAATAAAACGGTGTACTGACTCAATCTCAAATTTTCTTTGCAAAAAGAGGTTTCATTGACACCAACTTAGTCAATATCGTATATCACAAATTAGTTCAAACGAAAGTTTCTCCCTTTTTAAGGACCAGCTTGTACCTATTATCTATTTAACTAATAACAAACCGATTGTGACTTAAATTGTCAATTTCAAACATGTGTTGTAGGGTCTCAATAGTAAATACTTCAAGTCTAAAAATTCTTGCTTAACCTTTGCCATATCCCGAATTATAAATATGCAGGCTGACGAATTACTACAGATGACATGAACATTATAACCCTTCACTAGAAAATATTATCAATTTCAAATACACTTTGAAAATATCAATGGATTCATCTAAATATTACCAGGACAAAAGAGATAGTTGTAGCTTTCCAATTGTGAAATGATCTTGATAGAGGGTTGCTTCTAAAGAAGCCATTGAACTAAACGTTCGTGGTGGTTGAGTTGAGATCATACCTTGGTCAATCATTATGGAATATCTGTTCCACAGATGACGAAGGATACATGTACGTTCCAAATGTCGTAACAACAATACGCTTTTCCTCCAAAGTGAGCAACGATTTGAGATTTATTACTGATTTTGTATATATATGAGTAATACAACAGTTATGCCATGTGGCGGAGCACCTGCGATCAACCAGTTGTCTAATTGAGTTGTAATTTTAGTCTGTAGTTTTCTCTATTGTTTTCAAAGATACCAGGATCATTATTTATTACGCCAGAGGTGCGTTTCGTCTACATAATACTCATCAGTTACGCTCAGATCAAAATAGTTATAAAGCCAAACAAGTACAAAGTTGAAGAGCATTGAGGACCCAAAATTTCAAAAAGTTGTGTTAAATAAGACTAAGGTAATCTATTCCTGGGAAATGTTTCTTTTTTGTTTGTTTTTTTAGCTTGCTTTCTTTTTTTTTCTTGTTGCATTGTCAGTGTATTGGAATCATGAGTTTGCTGATCTATTATGTATCTCTCGCCTCTCTTAAAAACCACCGTATTAAGTTAAACATTTTAAAACTATGCATACCTAAATGGACAACGCTTAGTTGCATCGATGCATCTGCTAAATTAGCCCACATCTTAGCTAGTCTCCAAGCATTCGGGTCATCGTCTGGTTGAAACACCTTTAGTTGAAATGCATGCGATAAAAAATATCAGTAAATGAAAGTTTGCAATATGAACCTATTTATGAATCCAATTTCAGTTAACCTTATCAAAAGTAGTATATTTTGATTTTAAATATACCAAATTTATAGGAGATTCACATGAAACGTTTGAAATACACCATACAATATATACAAATATATGTTTTCCAATTGTTAAGTAAATACCAAGCGCTTATTTATAAATCAAAATGTATGTGTTTGAAAAACTGTATATAACACAACATTAATGAAATGCAGTTAAAAAGATGTTAATACCGATTTCCATGCCGTGTGCAAATCTTCATGAAATGATTAAATAATGTTCTTGACGACGCTGTTGTTTGTAGCGTTGATGACATGTCGATAATGCAAAAGGGGTATAGATTCAATGTTCGGCTAAAAGACTCGTATACAGAGTGCTTTCTTTGCCAATCGTTTGTATATATTAGAGTCAATAATGATGATCAACGGACTGAATCTTAAATGTCCTCCACTGCATGTTCCAAATGTTCGCTCATGTCTTACATTCTAACATGTTTGCGGTTTTGAAATTAATATTTTGTTCTAAAAAGGGTGCGTTTGACATTTAGAAATGCTATTTGAGTCCGGGTTTCAAGAACTGAGGATTTATTATTATTTGTGGCATATCAATTATCGTGGACTTTATGGGTGCAATTGAGCCGCGGCTTTAAATGTTAAACGGATTATAAATTTCCCATAGGCTTATATGCATATTTTCGTAAAACCACTTAATGAAATTTCCACGAAATTACAATTTTTCCTCCATCAACAAAAATAGAGAGTCAAGAAAATAAATTAATTCAGAGTAAATCAAAGGCCACATCTTGAGTCTCTGCATTTAGAAATATGTCATGCTACCTTGTCATGACATTTAACTCTTGTGCAATTCGTGTTAAGATTTCGAGGATGTCGTCTGCTTATTATGAAGGCTTCTGTATTACCGGATAATTGGATTTTGCGACGTTAACTTCAGACACATCTATCATGTTTATTTAATATCGAACTCGTCCATGCCCAGTATTACCTTCGTCAAATTGTGATAATGAAGTCATAATTGTGTTTATATTGGTTGAAAAAAATTATAATAACTGGCCATACCCAAACGGTTTGGTTATAATGCCGTATTGGTTTTTAAACATTGTTTTAATTCTAATTAGTCAATAAAACATTTACGCTATATAGATGGTTATTTAATATATTAAGTAATTGGTGTTTTCAGAATAGACCTATAAATGTCTTTAGCTAGTAAATTCGTCTGGAATGCTGTAGTGTCCCTTATAAAAGGCATCGGGTCACTAAAGACATCATCATATCATTATTGCAGGGCTATTGAGAACACATCAATAAATTATACGACAGCAATGTAACTTAAACGGGGAATGGATTTTCAATTTGGTAATACAAAACTTGCAGTGAACTGTTTAAGATAATCCACCTAGTAGAATAGTGTCACTGAATTAGATAAACGCAAAAAAAAAAAAAATCTCATGAACTATTTACATGTACGTTTATTTTGTGTCCGAATGCATTTACTACTTACAACTTGTCCTCCGTTAGCAATATTCAGTTTAATAGCAACAGGTTGAAAACCCTCGCCATCTATCTGTTGGAATAAAACTACTGGACTAGGAATCTAAAAAACAAACACTTGTGTAGATTTACATATTATAGTTGTGTTCAATTTGATTTATATATCTAAACTCAAATAAACAAATGTCCAATGGAAATGACAGTCATTGCTGTTATAACAGTTGTTTATTTGTCGCCTTTTAACCCATTATTGATTTCTCCTTGTTTTGCAAAGAGCATTAGTTTACTTATTAACTTTTTTTAAAACTTATTAATAAACTGCAGTAGGCTAAACTAAATAATGAATTATTGTAGGCAGAAAGTGAGGTAAACCATACCTTTTATTATCATAAGATTTATTTGTGGCGTTAAAATCATAACAGTCACAAGGCAAAATCAAATATGAAGTTAAACAGCATTTGAATAAAGGCAACATTTATTTAGTATACCACTGTTCAATAGTCATATTTTCGTTTAAGCAAAATGAAATTCGGGTAACAAACTAAAACGGATAAAAAGCTGAAGGTTAAGTACTGTGCAAAACTTTTCTAAATGCATGGCGAAGACAAAACCAAACATTTCAAACGAACTATACATTTCATGATCAGAAATTAAGAGTGACAAAAGAGTGGCGAAAGATAACAAAGATTTGTAATTCATAGCCCAGAGTTTTTGAAGAATCCTTAAGTTTTTGGATATACATGTATGCATTTTATGTTTTATCATTCTTTTTAATTTATTCGTTAAACGATTGGACGTATCCAAAAGCCTTTGATTTATTTCAGGTTGGGTATAGTTGTACCTCTTTAATGCTATATACATAATATAAATCAGATATAGATCATTATAACTCTCATAGTACTCAAAATCAGTAGAACGGTTTCATAAGGCACCAATCACTCATCTTATGTGTTGGTGGGGCTATGTATATATAAAAAAGAAGATGTGGTATGATTGCGAATAAGACAAGTCTTCACAAGAGACCAACATGACACAGAAATTAACAACTATAAGTCACTATATGTCATTTTTTAACAAACAATTGTTTTAGGCTTCCATCATACAAAACAAAATATTCAGTAGCATGTAGGAATAAAAAAAAATGTCCAATAGCATGACGGAATAAAAACAAAATGTCCAATAGCATGCAGGAATAAAAACAAAATGCCCGATAGCATGTATGCATAAAAAAAATTCTTTGGGAATCACAATGTTGCCCCCTTTATTTAAAATGGAAACACACCATTTTCTCAATATTTATATTCAAGACATTTCGAAACAAACTCAATTTCCCAATCTCCCGTTAAATCGGCTAATGTGAACAGAAACGTAACTATACATAACAAATAAATGTGTAATAATCGTTCATTTTTGAACTTGTCGTATGTGTATAATCGAGTATATACACCCAAACCAAATATACTACGTACAATCGTGATATGTATAAAAAGTGAAGATATTATTCAGCGATCTGTCTTACAAGGGTGCTGTACAACGTTAAAAAAACTTACAAAATCGAAAGTTCGATCATATCGATCCGGACTAGGTACTGGCATTTTCCGATGAAAATGGTGTTTTAACATGTGTAAACCTATTTGACTCATTAATCGTTTGTCAGGAATTTTCAAAATTGACTTGTTTGGAAAGGTAAGAAGCAGTTGTCATTACAAATCAGGTGTGTCAAGGAAAAACACGTTGTGAAAACATGGTCGGTCTGGACAATACTCTCGGAAAGGAGAAAAAATTTGCAATCACAGGCTGATATTCTGCAAGCCTTTGTTTAAACCAAATAGTTAAGACATATTGCAGTTTTATAATAGTATTGCAAAACATACTTATTGTGTGCTGATAAAAATAGTGATCACTTTAATTTCAGAGAAATCAGATATCATTATCCTATTTTTCTCCCAAAACCTGATACAGGGAATACACAGTTTATTCACACTGTTGGATACTTTGTTTATTTACGTTCTTTGATTGTTTCAAATATACTTGCATCAGTGAATTTTACAATGTATTTCTTATACATTATGTGTTTTTTTAAAACCCTAAATTGAAATTTTATACATATTCATGTAAAGATAAAAGGGCAAATTATTTTAAAATTATCAAATCTGCTTTTCAATATTAACTATTACTGATAAAGTAGTGATGTACATGTAAGTTCACAAAATTTATATAAGCATTTTAAGCATTAAAAAATGGTCACTAAATCCTCTCACGAAATTTAACCGGTATTTTATCCTTGCCCAATAAGACCCACTATTCCAAGCAGACCCGGTCTTTTCCAATACTTCAAAGTATAAGGCTCAATATTTATTAAACCTGCGTTTTGACAACCCTGATACAAATAAAACATTTTGAAGTTAATGCGATTTCTAACAAAATGTGGGTGTGTGAGTGAATTGTTGGTTTACTAATTGCATTACCGCTAGATTTTCCGGTATGTTGATGTTGGTGAAGTATAACTGCCCGTCTTCTATCACTGTATTGACGTCAACAATAGCATTGAGAACACCATTAGGCAGACTAAGAATAAGAAAAATAAGCATGTACAGACATGAAAGAATAATGAAAAACACATTTATTAGCTTATGATATAACATCATCCAAATGATAGCTATGGACGTTATACTTTTTTGTTTAAATTAATGAGGTGTCGTATAATTGGCACTGACCACGAGACAAGTGTCCTTCAAAGATCGAATACTTTGATAAAGGCAATTATTTGTCACCAAACGTACTCCCACCACTATCCAAACACATGCATCACAGTAACGTTTAAAAGCTATAAAATGTAACAATATGACAAAAAGTAAAACATTTGTTTCAATTCGTTTTATTTGGCTGAGAAAATGTAGAACATCGAGCATATCTTGGAAATATCAACCTAAGATTTCACTGAATTATATAACGGATATTTTTGTTATTACTACTATGTCGCATCAGACGCTGGTAAACTGACAAACCAGGAGTGGGCCTTTTGGCTTCATAGTCATTGTCGATGTGCAGTCTTGGATATGTGATACATTAACGTGCAGCTTAGATTTTATACCTACACTAAAACCTAGTTATCAAATTATTTCTGTCAATAGAATTCGGGTTGTTGTATGTATATTAGACAAATTTCACGTTACCTTTCTCAATTTTATTTAGTCCTATAATATTTGTTTTTTTCGTATTTTCTGTTATTTTGACGTCTTTATAATTTTCGTATTTTAACTTTCGAAACTACTGTCTAGTGTACTATATATGATAAACAATAATGCATAAAAATATGTCTAGTGCACTGTTATCTGTATCATATCATTTTTGTACTTCAAAACCTTTCAAACGTGGTTTGTTCAGCCAATTGCGGTACAAATAAAATAAAATGTAAGGAGGTAAAAAGCATACAGCTTTAATTTTTGTTTTAAAGAAAACACAAGATACACAATATATAAATGGGATCTCTCTTACATGTTCATGATGTCTGCAATCTCATTTCGGTCATTTACTCGCCTTATTAACGACGAGTTGCACTGATTAAGTCTTTGCTGCGCAAAATGCAGATTGTCTTCCCAATTGATGTTACCCTGAAAATTTAATTTGACGCCTATCAATGAGAACATAGAGATATTTTCATAAATAAGTTAAAGTATTGTACATGCAATGAGCAATTAATAACTTTTATTGGTATCTCTTATGTTGTGTTAAGCAAACAGTTTAATCATAATGTTGAATTTCCACCATTTTATCTTTATTAGATGGTTGCTGTCATAATAAATGTTGATAGTTTTCAGATCATAACAAAACTCCAAAACTGTGTTTTTCGAAGACTGCGTTAGTCAAACGTAAAACAAAAAAAAAATCTTTTGAAAATTGACATAACTTTCGTTTGATTTGATTTAGTATCAAATGATAATATTATTAAATTCAGAAGAAAAAAAATGTCATACATATTTACATTACTTCAAAAACGTGTGTGCGATATATACTAGTTTCTACTTACTCTTGGTGTTTTGAAATACATTTGGTAAGCTGTGTTTATTTCGACGAACGCTCTCCACCTTGCTGGCAGCCAATTCTTCAAGATTACGATTTCTTTGGATATAAACAATTTAGCTTCCGGCAGTACACTATTTTTCTGTAAAATTGTATTAGCTGAATTATTCAATCATTATTATTTGTCGAATATCTTAACTTGAGCTGCAATTTTCTCATTTGATTTGTTATAAATATTCTGTCGCAGTCAATACTTGATGAAAAAACTACATGTAGGATATGCTCATTTCAAATACCCTCGACTGTACTCAATAAGTACCAGAAACGATCCGGATAAACATACAAAACTTCCGTCAATAGTATGCGTTCTACTTATTTATGAAGGCCGTATTATGACCTCTAGATAGTAACTTATACAATTATATCATTAAATCTCTGGTAGATAGTTGTCTCATCAGCAATCATACCACATCTTTTTGTTTTAATTTGGGAGGAGCAGTATTGAGTTTGACATTTTTTTATGATTTTTCTTTTTTTTTTAAATCTGGGAACGTTACTTTTGTTAAAAAGGTACGAATGGTATTCTACCTTTATCTCGTTAACATGAACTTGCAATATAATCAAATGCGAAACCTGTAAATTTTGCACATAATTCAAAATCATATGAGAAAAAGAAATATAAAAAGTATAATTTGAACATACTTACCACAAAATAGTGGAATGAGAAGTTTTCTTCCATTGGCAAATTCCTTATCTGTAGATATATTGAAAGAACAAGTAGTGAAACATTCATTCGTTGAAATTTATTTTAATTGCTATGCAAATTTTGAGACGATGTGTAATTTAACTATTCGAGAATCTAGTTGATAAAATGTGTGACATAAACGATTTATTATTATTATTTTTCTGGTTTGATCTTCATTAATCAAAATATTATTAAGTGATATTCATTAACGTTGAAAATAATTTAAATATAATATTGCTGTGATAAATGACATTCTTTTGATAATATTTAAAGACAATTTGATAACAAATGACATTTAGTTTTATCAAAACGATTCCACTCTACCATAATTAAGTGTTGCTTGAATTTACCGGTGCTACCTTGATTAATGCCTACAATTTGTCCAACTTTATAAACATTGAATAAATAAGCCAGACGTGAGCATTGATAATTTATACAAGATATCCAAGTAACGGCGTATTATTGTAGCATCTCAAATTAATACACCGTAGACACTTAAATATAAAACAAAATGGGATATTTGATTGAAATAATGAGACTAAATAATATTGATGTAAGCAGTTACGGGTCACTGTACATCTGTCAATAATGATCAACAACCGATGGATTAAGTGAAATATTGTAATCACTTGCATCCGTTAACTTTTGGGACAAACTTCATCAGATTATCACTTTGGTAAGTAAATTACAAAGTGTGTCCGCTGTATACCACTGCTAACCAGCATGACTGACATAACAATGAATCTTGGAGTTTTATCTATTATCCTTAAAACCACCAAAGCAGAGCAAATATGGCATGATCTAAATGATATGAATGATGAGATCTGTCTACTGTCAATTTACATCAAAATCTTTGAGACGATTTCTTGGAACCGCGTATGCCTTAAATTACGAATTTGACCACTGTATCTATTATCTTGAAACTATGATAGATAGAAAGACACTTTAGATGCCAAATCTGCAAATCGCCTTGCAGTTATTGCCCTCGAATTAAAATTTTAAGCATTATTTTTGTAAAGTAAAACTTTAAAAGCATATCATAACCGAGACAACATTCCAACATAACTGATATTACCTATATTGTCAGTTGAACTCACATTATTGGCTTTGAAGGAATATTTTTATCAATGTTTTGCGTTATTGCTTTGATAAATGATAACAAATAGAGAGAATGTTTCAGATGCAAAATAATCCAGAGGACAAATCTACATATAGGTAAATTTTTCGAAATAGTTTGTCGACTTTTTTATAGGCGTTTTTTTGCCCCTAAAAACAAAAAACAAATACGATGTTTACCAATAGTTTTTATTTGGTTCTAAAATATAGACTATATGTGGGAGGTTTGGCTAGCTATAAAACCAGGTTGAATCCACTATTTTCTACATAAAAAAATGCCTGTACCAAAGCAGGAATATGACAGTTATTGTCCATTCGTTTGATGTGTTTAAGCTTTTGATTTTGTTATTTGATTAGGGACTTTCCATTTTGAATTTTCCTCGGAGTTTAGTACTTTTATTTTTTTACTTTTTTCACAGATTTATACAAATTTTAATAGAAAACAATCAGCAAGAATAGAACTAGATATAAGTATGTATGGCTTTTGTTGTTTGTAAACATCAATGTAAAATGGAAGTATCTAAATCTAAAAAATGCAATCATTGCTTTTTTATGTATTAAGACAAAGCGAATTGGTATGACTTTTTTGTTTCGTTTTTATAGACCAAGAAGGAATATTTGAACGGGTTTTAGCTACCTCAGACGATACTGCATCTGATGGATTGACCTATGTTAGTATAACAGTTACACCTGAGGTCAGACTCAGTTTATAGAGGGCTTGTGATGCTCATTTTTTATTTTATATTTTGTGTTTGGTCTACTGTTTGTCTTTTTCTTTTTTTAATCATGGCGTTTTTAGTTTATATTCGACTTTGAATGTCGATTTGGTGTCCCTCGTTTTTCTTTTTTTTTATGTTTGAATTAATGAATGTCATACAATTTAATAAATAGCAAAATCAGTAAATTTTAGCCATTGTATATAAAAACGACGGAAGATAATCATGATAATTAGGAAAGGAAAAAAATCTGCATTTACCTTAACAGGTAATTCTATATCACCACCATTGTACAATTCATATCCATATTTCAGTTTTTGCTCAGCAAGATGAAACTTTCGTAGATCTGAATTATATTGACTGCCTTCATCTTGAGGTAAAAGCGTATCTTTTCTACTTGAAAAACCACGAACCGTTATCGTTTTATGAAATGAAAACCGATGTCCACCATCAATTTCTATCCATCGAAAGAACCATCCAGTGCCTTCTTCATTGCCATTTCTATTTATAGTTATAGTTGAAATATCTAATGGGAGAACAACATCAGCCTCGGCTTGAATAGTGTGTATACCATTTTCCTGATTTATTTCGATTTGATTCATATGAGCTTTTATTCCGTTCCCTAATGCGGTAATATTGTAGTTTGCAGCTTCTGGATAGCCATTTGGGGGTTGGAGGGATATTCGTATGGTATGCCACCTGTCTCCAAAATTCAATCGATATTTGATATACCATACCAACCACCTTACAGTGTATAAAATATTCTGATACATTGAAACCAGTCTGTCCCCAAAATTCAGGAGATATTTGATAGATAACGCCAACCGTCTAACAAGATATACAAAATACTTATTCATTGCTTTTTATCTAAACTTCTCCCTGAAATGAAACAATTCTTAGAGTTGTTTTACATATACATCATATTTTGTATTTATGATTTAGCGAGTAAATGAAATGGGAAAAAAAACTTACGTAAGATGCAATACAATCCTTATAAGTATTTATAAGGAATTGCATAATGGAATTTTTACTTTTAAATGATTTACCAATATTATTGATATTGAATGAGATTCCAAGAAATTTTTTTTTTTTTATTTTGCTTTTGTTTTGTGTAAATAAAACTATATTAGACGTTCGAGAGTGGTAAAAAAATCATAACATAGATCTGACACCAAATACGAAAAGAAGCGAACTTAACATAATAACGCTAAACGAACTTTATAAAATATCTTATCCAATTTTGAAATATCATTCAATGGGAACCGACGATTTTTTTCATAGACAATTAGACCTATAATCACAAATTATTTTACATCGGTCCTAAAAAGTGCAATAGCCTTGGTGAAAAGGTAGCAATAAATTCGGATTCAAAAAGAGATTAGAAAAGTTGGTTTTATAACTAATATACATGTTTAGTAAAATAATATATACGGCTGCCTTCATGCAGAAAAGTCGTAGGAAGAATGCCACGAAGCTTGTTTTTTCCTGTTATTTCTTTCTACTTTAAAAAGATGATGTCCTCATTATATAATTCAAAGTTAGGTGACTAATTATAACGTATCTAAACATATAATTAAACAATGGATACAAAAGATACAATGAAGTCTGCCCTAAACCGTGACGTTCATATTGAAATTAGCAATTAGGTTCGTTTGACAATGGTTGAGAACAAAACATTACGACAAAAGAGACGATTTTAAGATTCAAAAGTACATGCATTAGGTATGGAGTTACTTGAAATGTTATAACTATAATATGAAACGATGACATATTCATTTAATTGATATCTACAGGTTAATGTTATCAGATTTTTTATTGAAATATACATTTCTTACACATTGATTGCATAATGTATTGAATAAATCATTGTTGTCTTTATGACCTTCATAAAAAAAGTATCAAATGTATTAGCTGACGCAGGTTTATAGAAATTCAATTATCACAGTAATAATTTCCTCAATCCGTCTTTCATTCGACCAATCCTTGTTTTATTAAATCATGCAAGAGTGGATGCATTCATAAAGAGTCCTTGTGACAGAAAATTTAGCCCAATAACTTCCGTAAAAATTGTTAAACTTATCTAACAGTATGATAAAGTCGACTACATATAATTGTAAACATTCTTGCCAAGTATGAGAGGATTTGTTCGACGGCGATAATGTGTCGTTTTGGTACAACAATATGAAGAAATTCCAATTACTCTCGTAATAATGCTAAAAAAATATATCGGAATGAAATGTCTACAATAATTGATTCTTAATTTTCCTACCTAATTTGAACGTTTTCTAAGGAAAAGTAAGATTAAAATAAGGAAAGCATATGGTCAACAACACATGATGGCAAACTATTTCACAAACTATAAAAGCTTTATGTAAAACGGTCTTCGGGGAGTTGTGTACCAAAGTATCATTATCATTGTAAAAAAAATCGATCTATGAGATTTTTTTTTTACATTAACTGAGGCGTAATTCCCTCCCCTGAGTTTTGTCATTTTTTTCATAGTTCTTGTTATTCTAATGAATTGTAGATAAGAGATATTGAGCAAATTTAACATATTTGTTTTGACTGTGAGCAGGACAACATTTTATCCGTTCCGACTTCGAAATAGAATTATCACAGTAATAATTTCCTCAATCCGTCTTTCATTCGACCAATCCTGACACCCCTCGGTGTGTTATACGACAAGAAAAACCTTAAAATATGCATTATCTATAACATAATCAACAACACAAGATTTAAAAACAAACAAAACAAGGAAAACATTGTTTTATTAAATCTTGCCAAAGTGGCTGCATTCATAAAGAGTCCTTGTGACAGAAAAGTTAGCCCAATAACTTCCGTAAAAATTATTAAACTTATCAAACAGTATGATAAAGTCGACTACATATAATTGTAAACATTCTTGCCAAGTACGAGAGGATTTGTTCGACGGACAAACAGGTCGTTTTGGTACAACATTATGAAGAAATTCCCATTACTCTCGTAAAAATGCTAAAAATATATATCGGTATGACATGTCTACAATAATTGATTCTTAATTTTCCTACCTAATTTGAACGTTTTCTAATACATTTCCTAGATGAGTTGCGTTCACAAGGAAAAGTAAGATTGAAATAAGGAAAGCATATGGTCAACAACACATGATGACAAACTATTTCACAAAGTATGAAAGCTTTATGTAAAACGGTCTTCGGGGAGTTATGTACCAAAAGATCATTATCATTGTAAAAAAAATCTATCTATGAGAAATCATTTTTACATTAACTGAGGCGTAACTCCCTCCCCTGAGTTTTGTCATTTTCCTCATAGTTCTTGTTTTTTTAATGAATTGTAGATAAGAGATATTGAGCAATTTTAACATATTTGTTTTGACTGTGAGCAGGAGAACTTTTTTCCGTTCTGACTTCGAAATAGAATTATCACAGTAATAATTTCCTCAATCCGTCTTTCATTTTACCAATCCTGACACCCCTCGGTGTGTTATACGACAAGAAAAACCTTAAAATATGCATTATCTATAACATAATCAACAACATAAGATTTAAAAACAAACAAAACAAGGAAAACATTGTTTTATTAAATCTTGCCAAAGTGGCTGCATTCATAAAGAGTCCTTGTGACAGAAAAGTTAGCCCAATAACTTCCGTAAAAATTATTAAACTTATCAAACAGTATGATAAAGTCGACTACATATAATTGTAAACATTCTTGCCAAGTATGAGAGGATTTGTTCAAAGGCCATAATGTGTCGTTTTGGTACAACAATATGAAGAAATTCCCATTACTCTCGTAATAATGCTAAAAATATATCGGTATGACATGTCTACAATAATTGATTCTTAATTTTCCTACCTAATTTGAACGTTTTCTAATACATTTCCTAGATGAGTTGCGTTCACAAGGAAAAGTAAGATTAAAATAAGGATAGCATATGGTCAACAACACATGATGGCGAACTATTTCACAAAGTATGAAAGCTTTATGTAAAACGGTCTTCGGTGAGTTATGTACCAAAGTATCATTATCATTGTAAAAAAAATCTATCTATGAAAATTTTTTTTTACATTAACTGAGGCGTAATTCCCTCCCCTGAGTTATGTCATTTTTCTCATATTTATTGTTATTTTAATGAATTGTAGATAAGAGATATTGAGCAATTTGAACATCTTTTAATCTTTGTCCAAACTAACTAAGGACATTTTTACCACGTGTTAGATTGTGGTTTGTCATTACGTCGTCTGATCTTTTGATTACCGAACGTGACTTATTCTCGATTGTGACTGTTTTGCTGAGTGTGAAACCGCATTGGTATAAGACGTGTCACGGTACTTTTCTATCCCAAATTCATGTATTTAATTTTGATGTTATATTTGTTATTCTCGTCGGATTTGGTCAAATGTCTAAACGTCGTTTCTGTTATATTCGTATGTTATGGTAAAGATAATGAATCACCCCCTTCATTTATTAGATTTTAGTTTGGTTCAACGAAATTTATACGATATATTTGGTTTACAGTTTGATTCAGAAGAAACACCGACATAGCTAGATAATACAATTAATTATCTAATCACTACCACAATTTGATATTAATTAGTATTGTAATTTTCATTGTTATTCATAAATGTAATGTCAGTATTACAAATCTAATCTTGAATCAATCCTAATCCTATCTTATTTTTAGGAAATATTTTTACAAATTCAAATGTGACGTCACTTTGTGTGTTTTTTTTAGAATTTCAAATGTGACGTCACTTTGTGCGTTGAGGCTTTGGCTAACTCGGCTGTGTATTTTTATGTGTTGTATTAAGTTGTCTTATGTAATGTATCCGTTTTTATTCTGTAGTTAGTCCCCACTTCGGTTTTATCATGTATATCTATTATATAGTCATTTTATAAAATTTACTGTTTGTAAAATTATAAATTATTCTAAATAATAAGGATGTTCTTGTCCCAGGCAGAAAACCCTGGCCTTGTTGGGCGCAACATTTTGGAAGTTTTGGTCCTCGGTGCTCTTCAGCTTTGTACTTGTTTTAGCTTTCAAACTCTTTTCATCTGAGCGTCACTGGTTAGTCTTGTGTGGACGAGACGCACGTCTGGCGTATTGGATTTTAAACCTGGTGCCTTTTGTTAGCTATTATTCGTGTGTTTCTTTGTTCTATATGTTCTCCCATTTATTTGTATTGTAATCCTGTCATGTAATGTTGTCATTTTAATGTTACATTTAACATTGCCATAAAAGCGGGAGGTTTGGCATGACACAAAACCAGGTTCAACCCACCATTTCTTTCTTAAAATGTCCTGTACCAAGTCAGGAAAATGGTCATTGTTATATTATAGTTCGTTTCTGTGTGTGTTACATTTAAATGCTGTGTTTTTGTTGTGTCGTTGTTCTCCTCTTATAATTGATGCGTTTCCCTCAGTTTTAGTTTGTAACCCGGATTTGTTGTTATCTCTATAGATTTATGAGTTTCGAACAGCGGTATACTACTGTTGCCTTTATTTAACATATTTGTTTGACTGTAAGCAGGACAACTTTTGTCCGTTCTGACTTCGAAATAGAATTATCACAGTAATAATTTCCTCAATTAATATTTAATAACTTAAAAGTTATTTGTGTATGTACCTTTTAAACAGTAAAGAATAAAGATAATACATTTATTAGGTTTTTTGTTTTAAACTAAAACATGTTTTTTTTTTACTTCTAAATACTACATTTGTAAGAATTGAACTGCTTCCGTTGTAATTGAAAACCATTTTCCAAAAATGAAAAAAAAAAAATCTTAATCGATGTCTCTTTTAAGTATAACTATACTCGCAATAAATCGACCCATCAAAAAAAGAGTGATATGAATTAATGAACATGTAGTCGTTTTCATCCAAGACTCTGTGTTGAAGGCCGTACTTTGACTTATGATGGGTTACTTTTATAAACTGTGACTTGGATGGAGAGTTGTCTCATTGGCACTCATACCACATGTTCTGATTTCTACTTAACCTGTAGATAATTATAATCTAAAATTTGTAAAACCAAATTTTAAATCAAATTGCATAATTGAAATGAACAATAGAAAAATTTACTTACCCTATATAGTAATAAATACGTCTCTGAAATGGATTACTTCATACTCAGTTTTTATACCGTTGCCTTAGTTTAACCAACACATTAACACGGTTCACGTACTGGTTCATCTTTACAAATAGGAATTCCAAGAATTATGATAAAGAATTTAAACTTACATTTAAACATCAAAATAAAGAAGGTTATTGTTCGAAAGTCTGGTGAAGCAATTTCTCAGTCAGATTGTATATGTTACACCTATGATTATTTAAGTGTATTTTTACATATCATTATTGTTTTAATTATTCGTGTTATTATTATTGATAGTTACTTGTTTAACACTAAGTCGTTCAGTTTTTTTTTGTATTGTTTTATGGGCTTTTTTTGCCAGTTTCTCTCACACTTAAAGAGTTTTTAAACTGCACTTGGTATCTTCATCCTCCTTTTTATCGCTGTTGATAATCGATTGGACGTTTTTGACATAGTGGAAAAAAATCATTGAGGCAATGCGTATACTCCATCCAGTGATAATTTCTAATAAAATGCAGGTATTTTGATAATGTACTCCCAATCTTTATCATTGTTGTAAATGTACTAATTTGCTACCTTTCAATGGACATACACATAACCATTGAAGTTTTACATTCCGCCAAAAAGATGTAATTAATTCTAAATTAACGATGATATAGGTTAACTATGCATCAACCAAACAACAAAAATAAACCCGATAATACATATTCTCACCTTTTTTTACTTATATTGAGTCAATGTACTTTTGGTTGACTTAATACCCAAATGACACCACCGCCCATATATCATTTACACTTATGAAATTAAGAAATTCAAAACAAAGACGTCACCAAGTATTAAAGTGTCTCGTCTAAAAGTGATTAAGAATGGATTGTTTATCTCAATATCTTAACTTTTTCTGTTAGATCATCATCCTATGCATTACACATGTTACAATTGTTAGTTCTTTTAGATTTTCGGTGAGTTCAATTTGTTAGCTTATTATTATAAGATTTACCAGTTTCATGCAGTTTTAGAAACAATAAAATATGTCCATTGTTAAATCAATTGTCCGTTGTTTTCTGTATATTCTTCATGTGCAAAGTATACGTTTCTTTGGATCAAGTAGTAAGTATTATCCAGATAACCTATAGTTAAATGTATACTAGTCAATATCCAAGTATAGTATATAATCAATACACAGCTTATAAATACCATTAATTGCTAGATACAACATACATGTTCGAATTTAATGTTTATAAGTTCTCGTGTAACATAGTGATTTAGTTTTCTTAAAGGTCGTCACTCAAGACTTACCAAATATGTTTAAATGTACGCTAGAAATTTTTAAGATCATTCTTCATAATTTAAGTGACAGGGTGTGCCTCAAAATGTTTGTCAGCACATTTTTTAAATACGTTTCTCAAATCATACAATATATATTCTAAGAATGTACAATCGGTAATGTAAAAATGATATTCATTTCTAGGATTTATCATAAATTGTACCATTTAAACTATTTTTGAGATAAATAGATACAGTAGCCACGTTTCACGTTATAGCACTCTCTACGAAATTATATTCTTTGCCTTAATCTGAGCCGGTAAAAACTGTTCCATTTTTTTCATTTGATAATATACGATTTACATAGCGAAATAAACGATAAATTTACTCAATAACTTTGAGAAAATAAATATCTACCTTTATAGGAACTTAACATAAATGTGGTTTCTCACGAAGAATCATTTTCCTCTGAAATTAAATCTATGTATGTTTTTTATTTTATATTTTAGCAATGGCATTACCAATTTCTCTTCGACTAAGAGTTTTGGTTGTCCTTTTTCAAATGTATCTTCCGCCAAAACCAAAGTTTAGTCTTGTTAATACATACAGTTTTACACTGAATTTTATTGGCATTCTATTAATACTTCCGTCGTATATAGTCTTTACTGAAAAGTTTATTCATTCTGGAATAAAACAATTTAAATCAATAAACAAAGGCAATAGTAGTATACCGCTGTTCGAAAGTCATCAATCGATTGAGAAAAACAAATCCGGGTTACAAACTAAAACTGAGGATAACACATCAAATATAACAGGAAAACAACGAAACAACAGAAACACTAAAGTGCAACAAAAAAAAAAAAAAAGACAATGCAACACACAGAGAAACGAACTATACGATAACAATTGCCATTTTCCTGACTTGGTACAGGACATTTTAAGAAATATGGTGGGTTGAACCTGGTTTTGTGGCTAGCCAAACCTCCCACTTTTATGGCAATGTTAAATATAACAATAAAATGACAACATTACATGACAGGACTACAATGAAAATAAATGGAAGAACATTCAGGACAGAGAAATACACAAATTAACAATACAATAGAACATTACGACATGCTAATAGTTATCAAATTTACCAGGCTTATAATTTAATACGCCAGACGCGTGTTTCGTCTACATAAGACTTATCAGTGACGCTCAGGTTGAAATAGTAAAGAAATTCAAACAAATATGAAGAGCATTGATGACCCAAAATTCCAAAAAAGTTGTGCCAAATATGGCTAAGGTTATATGCATGGGATAAGAAAATCCTTAGTATTTAGAATAATTCATACTTTTGCATTACAGTAAATTTATAAAAATGACCATATAATAGATATACACAGTTATTTTAAAACCTCGTTCGCACGAAAACTGTCATTTGCATTTGCAAACCCTCATTTAAAGGTTCCTTCATACTCCACCAATGTAAATAGATATTGCATTTTGAACAAATATGGAATACAAGAAAATTGCGGAGGATATTACCTTTGCTTACTAAATTAAAATGGTTTAAATCAAAACTCAACAAAGATTGCCTTTGCAAAGTCGTGATTTTTCTTTTAACTATGCTGTAGTATTTCTGTATGTCATACAACACAATTAAACAGTTTACAGATTTCCTTTGTTTGATTGTTGGAATATATGTATCGTAATTTCTCAGGTACGCATTTAATTTTTAGAAATTCATTTTACAAAGTTTTTCAGAATCGCACAGACCAGAATGTGTTAAGTGCTGTACATTCTTTCTATTTCTAATTAATCTCCCACGCAGATGTGCAATTCATGATTGTAATGGGTGGTGACAAAGTTAACTCTCATGAATGAACACAGTAAATCATACTTTTTATGTATACTAGTCAACAAAAGAAACGATACAAGTCAATGTATTTTCTATATATAATGAAATTGGATACACTGTACCATGGTAGATAATTGCTCAATTTGTCTAATATTTTCAGAGTGTTATTTTCTTATCAAAACCATTTATTCAGGCAAATACGCGAATTTCATTATTTTTTGGCAATTTCTGTTATTTCAACAATCGTATTTTCACTTAAAAATAAAATAATCTATATTTGAACTTTAAACTTTACTTAAACATGGTATGCCTAATATTTTTATTGCCTTCGCAGATATTTGAATACCTAATTTTCGTTTTCAAAATAAAGTGCCGACTTTTGTCATCATTTTCCGCAAAATATATTTGACCTCTTTGTGCAATAACACGGTATTTTTTCCTATCCAATTAGTTTAAATTCTTTTAATCATATGCATTTGCTTTCCAAATGAATGTTTTTCATTGGATAATTTAATAGTTTTTGCTACTTAATAAATTGGACTTCAAACTTGTGTATCGTTACTTTTGTCGACTAGTACATGTAGTATATTATGCAATTCAAACTGTGGTGACGTCTTATACCTTTTGTTCTTCACAAATCTATTTCATGGTATGTACACATTGACAAAATACAACGATGAAGTTTTGAAGGTCGCAAAGGAATACTATTTATAGTCAATTACGTACATGCATATTGAACAAGACTGAATTATAAAGAAGGTAACATTAAGTTTACGAGTATACTACTGAGTAAAGCTATATCATCAAAATTCATGTAAAATATATACAAAAAAAAAAAAAAAAAGAGAAAAAGACACAGATATTTTTTTGTTCTTCACTACCCATACGTGAAGGTTGAATATGAGTACACATATACCAAAATAATCTAACATATTGAGTCTTTTCAAAAACTGTTTTGTACATCAGAACATACTCCTTGTACGTTTACGACTCGGACTAAAAGGAGACATAAGGTATACGTAAGTGAGAGTGCAAAGACAAATATGCCCAGAAAGATATCTTAGACGATAATACAAACTTTAAGTCTTTTACAACAGACAAGTGTATATAAAATATTCAATTGGTCTATACAAAAATTGTAACACCAAATTCAAAATTTTCCGTAAACACCATTCATCGAACAAAAATGTACACCTTAGATCTGTTGGTCAAATTCATAAAACTAAAAAGATATCGTACAGCCACGCCATGAAACGTTAAAGATGACATCATCTTGTGCAATATCTATAAAAAAATGTATACAGAAAGACTTTTTTCCATTTGATCCGTTGGTTGACAGGGTCTCGCGTTTGGCTTTTTGGGATTTTGTGGACTTTCCCCTTTTTGAACTTGCCTCGGCATATTTGTTATTTTGTTTTATAATAACCTTTATCAAAATGTTATTCAGCCAAGGAAAATGATATAATGAACACTTTCGAATCTGATTAGCATTATTAACATATGTAGAATAGTGGATGCAAAATACCACATGATAACATCAATACATTTGTGTTTTCAGAATAAGTGTAAATTTGTGTAGAAAGCACATACAATTGGCTAAATGCGTTCTTATAGTTTGCTAATCATCAAATGTCCGATTACAAATCCATGGACTTGTCTTAAAATTGCAATGTTGTTGATACATATTTTTCCGTTAGATTGACATAAAATAACTATAGAGTTACAAACTTTACCAATCTTTTATTCAGTTGATTGTTTAAAACGTCAAAAAAAGTTTTACAGCTTATAATTTGATGACGTTACGCTTTTCTCGAAGGGAAGTGAAAAAAAATTGTTTGTGTCCATTGCAAACTAGGTTAAAACTAATACAACAGATTTCCTGCTGCTGAAACATGTGTGTGATATTGAAAAAAATATATATTTAAGTCTAGAAAAAAGTGTTTGTCCCAAGAAAAATACCCGCCCCAAACAAAAACATGAAAAGTAGGTGCCCTAACGTATATGGTAATATTGGTTAAGCAATATATTACATAACAGTGATCAACTTTGTCAATGTCAAGAGATTTTTTTTTCTTTCATTCCGAAAATACATGATTGTATTTTTGCAAGTCAGCATTTAATTTTCAGAAACTCCTCCTACAATGTTTCTAGGAATCGCCTACATCAGAATATGGAAAATACAGCACATTCTTTCTATTTGCTTTCAATCCCTACATCTAGATTTTAGCCTCCGACCCAGGCGTGTCAGTCTTGTTTATGGGGTGACGACATTACCGCTCAGTTACCTTTAATGAATGAACACATTGTATCATATATCTCCATGTATACTACAATTTAATCTCTGACGACATCTTTAACCTTTTGTCGAAAGATAGAAATAAAAAAATAGAAAAAAATGAAATAAATGACGCTTTACGCTAATACACTTTTTAAAAGGATCAACACCTTGAATAAACAAAAACATTTACATGGATATTTTACTTGTTATGAAAAATAAAATGCATATTTGATTAGTAATATCAATAAACTGCATATTTTACTAGTTATAACAATAAATGAAATACAGAAATGACAGGAAAAATTCAATGATAGCCACTGAATTAAAGGGTCTTGATTTCGGAACAGGCACATAGACATTACAGATTATTGAGTTTTCCCAATCTGTTAATATGCATGAATAAAACAAACCCCGCTATATACAATGATCGTAAATCATTTTTTTGTTCGCTTTATCTTTCATTTCTGCACATCTGTCAACCCGATGATGTTTATAGCTTACTCTTCTGTACAGATTTTGTGCCTTGTTCAAGGTAGTACGATGACATGTAATTGGCAACTAAACCATATATCCTCATGTTTGTATTGTAAATATTTTTATATATTTCCATTTATAAATACTTGGTTGTTGTGGTTTGCATATTTTGTTGAGTCTGTTTAGTGTTGCCTTTGTCTATGACTATTGCGCAACAAGGCTAAAGATTTCTTCTGAAAAAACCCAACTAGTTTAGAACTAATAACAATCAGAACAGAATATAGAAATTGAATCCAAATGTTGTTTTTTCTTGTTTATTTTGCGATATCAAAAAACGAAAAACGAAAACAC